TATTTGGTCAAAGAGCTCATATTWCACAAAGTTTAATTAAAGGTTAAACAACTATTCAATTCCAATCCTATTATGAATGCTGTAATCGACATTTTACTCTAAATTTTGTAAATTTCAAAATGTAGGAATGGAATGACATTTTCATAAACAACATTTTTTATTTATTCTTTAATTTTATACTTGTTTGTCTTAATTAATAAATCCTTTGCAGTTTTCWATCACTCTCTGTCCTGCTCCTTCGAGTTCAAAAACACCATAACCCAATCCCATCCATCCATCCGCTCTAAAATTCTCGCCCAGATACCGATAAGCATCCTCCTGAATCCGTTTGTCGGTCAGAATCAATACGTCCCTAATTGCTTCGGTTAGTGACAGCAAGTGCAGGTGTCGTCCTGCCATAAATTCGAATTTTATTGTCAAAATGTTAGAGGTCCTCGTGGAATGCCACAAGCGGCCATAGCGTCGGCCCAATTGGCTACCRGATTCTAGTTATCCAATCCCCGATCTGAGGATACTTTTCATCTGTCAGCGACTCGAACTCGGCCACCCACCGTCAAACACAAACTATAAATTACACACCGATACCAACGATTCGATACTAGCCGCCGACCACGGTTCCAACGAGTTTTCGGGAATCAAATAAAACTACCGATTCGGTTGAATTTATTCGTCTTTTTGGCATTTTTTTTCTCTTTTTTAGTTGGCCAGGTACAGGCTGGCCACAACAATGACAACACAGGGGCGTATTCACTGCACAAACTGTGCATCTTTAATTATTTTAATTACAAAAATAAAAAATATGATTCTTGTTAATTGCCCGGATTAACTCTAATCCCAGTTCCCCTATGCAAGGAATAAATCTATTCAGCAGGGTCAGTCAAGTCGGCTGGGTTGTAATATCCACCTGCCAACTTGATGAGGCGGCTGCTAACGCGAAATAATCTCCCCATCGATCGCTTGACATAAACTATGTTTACAAAAAATTGCGACAATTAATAATTGCAGYAACCAAAGCCTCAACCATGTGAATTTTTATTCTGYGGCGGATGCTTCTCGGAATTGCCGAACCTTAAAAGGCCATAAAACAGAAGATCAACACCCAATTAACCGGAGGAATCGAACGCGGTTTCAGGTAGTGCACAGGACCGGACGCGGGGTCTTTGTTTGCGAGGGTGGAAACGCAGTAACGCACTCCCCTGTTTCGAGAGGGTGGAACAATGCATGAAATTCATACTAACTTTATTGTATTTGTTCAGTGTTAAAAAATACGAGCGGATACAATTGTGCTGAGAGGGCTGTTTCGACGAGATGTAAATAAAGGAGAGTGAGTCGGGGTGGTATGAGACCAAATGAGGGTCAATACTCAAAAAGAGTAAAAAGAAAAAATATAGAACTC